ACTCTCCCAATTTCAATTCCATCTTTTTCTGGATAACTTACTCAACCATTGTTAGGTCAAGTGGATCTTTCTAAAGTTCTTAAAGTTACACCAGTATATTCTGAACTCTAGGTAAGACTATGAACTGCATTTCAAATTCTTGGTTTAAAGTTCTCTTCTTTATCAGCTAATTGTTTTTTTAATGTTTTGATTTCTTCTAATGAGTTTTTATTTTTTTCTTGTTGTTCTTTTAGGATGTTTACCATGATTTTCTTATTTATTATTCTTTTAATAATACTTATATCCTTTTTAGAGGGTATATTAAGTATATAATTATTTTAGTATTTTTTTTTTACTAAAAGCTAGCAATATTTATTGAATAATTAAATTTATTAAACTTAATGACAGTAATGACAAATGAAATACTGGAGGTGATTTTATTCTAAATATTTTATTCATTGCCAGTATAGATTGGTCTTGGGCAAGTAATATCTTTGTATTCATCTTTCACAAATGGGCAAATATTCTGGTAAAGATATTCTTGTCTTTTGTAATCTAAAGGAGGTGATGTTAACACTAAAATAGATAAAGCTTTAATTTCTTCAAAAATATCTGCTTTCTTAGTTTTCAATAAATTGAATTCAACAAAAAGTCCATTAGCAATTTCCTGAGCTTTGACCACACCAAAATTAATTGCTTCAAAAAGAAAATGTTGATATTTTTGTATACTTGGTAATTTCTTAAAATAAATTCCCAAAATAGCTTTAATATCTAAGTATTGAAATCCTTTTCCACCTTCATAACATTGAGCTTTATTTAATCCCGCTGGACTAGACTTTTTTACCACTGCAACCCACATGATCCAGACAATCTACTCTTGTTCTTCTGTAGAGTTTTTTAATCATGCCAAAACTACCATCACATTTGAATTTGGTGTGCCCAGGAATCATGAAAATTAATTCAATACTTTAATATTGACCACAAATTACTAAATACAAATAAAACCAAATTGTTACATTATTTTTATTTGTCCCCCAGCATTATCACAAGTAATCTTTAAATGCTTTTCACCTTTATCAATTTCTTAATTTCATCAAAAATCATGCTAAGAGTGCCATTGGGTCCTTTTCCTATAATTTCATCTTCATTAAGAACATAATTAATTTGT